GGAATGAATGTCTTTGAGACAGCAAGGTTGGCACAGGATAGAACGACATTTAGGGTTCTTGTACATAGGGTTGCTATGAGTCGCAAACGACTCAATGGCACATAACAACAACAACAACAACACACTGTAACAAATGGAATTAGCACCAATCAGAAACAAAACAAAAACAACTGGTTATCATGGTTGCTCACTTGAATGACTTCATTTTCCTATGCATTTCAGCTCAATATAAAGAAAACAAAAGTCCTTACAATTGGGCCAGTAAACAACATCAGGATTAATGAAGAAAAGACTGACATTGTCAAGTATTTAATTTTACTTGGACCCACAATCAATGCCCATGGAATTAGCCATTAAGAAACAAAGTCATAGGGAGCTCTGGTGGCCTAGTGGTAAGAAGCTGCGCTGCAATCCCAAAGGCTCACGGTTCAAACACACCAGATGCTCTACTGGAAATGGAACGGCAATCTCCTCCTGTGCCAGTTGGATCCGATTTGACAGTATACAACAAGGAAAAAAAAAAACCAAAACAAGAAACAAAATGACATTGAAACAGACAAATCTGCCGCCAATGACCTCTTTAAAGTGTTAAAGAACAAGGCTGTCATTTGAATGACTAAGGTGCATCTGCCCCATACTCACATACTTTTAATAAGTTCTCAGGAGCCAATTCCTGGAGAGAGAGACATGATGCTTCGTAAAGTAGTGGGCTAGTGAAAGAGAAGACGACCCGACAAGATGAATTTGCGCAGCAGTTACAACAATGAGCTGAAGCGGAGGCGAGATTGTGAGGATGGTGCAGTATCAGGCAGCACTTCTTCCTTGTACCAAGGATTTCTACAAGTCAGAGCTGCCTCAGTGGCACCTAATAACAGCAACACAACAGCAAGCATTTCTCCATGAAATAAACCTAGTCTTTTCAATATTGTTTGCTAGGCTCAAGTACTTGCTTAAAGAATTGAAAACTGTATCCTCACCCACAAACATTCAAGTTTCTCATTCCCTATAACTCCAAATTAAAATCAGACAATACAGCTTTAACAATGCAAGGTCCTTCAACAACATGACGGTGTTAATAACTGTGTGCAAACACAATGCCTTCTGTGAGCTATTGTTGCCTGACCCATTTCCTTCTAAAGGACACACTGCATTTACCAGCAGGACAAGGATGGGCTGTCACCTGTCCGGATGGCTTCCTCCAGGCTGTCATTCCTCTCTCCCTGGAGCAGTTTGTGGTAATAGCCGGGATTCTGTTCCATCCGTGCCTGGGCTCCGCTCACCCCCATCCAGACGCGCGCCCGGTGCTCAAGTGGAACCCCCTTCCGGATATAGCGCTTCACTGAAACAGAGACAAGGTGGGGGTTTTAGATGGACAGTCACGTATTCAAATAACCGCTCAAAATAAGATTAGTGTTAATGCTTTTAGGTCTCACTAATTCTCTCCCTAAATAAAATACGGAAAAGATCCCAAACTTCATAGTCTTTACTAGAACTGTTATTTATACTCTTCATAAAATTTTTCTCCCCTCTCCTAATATGAAGTATAAGCTAGGCCGACTACAATAATCACTAAATATTTTTACATAAATGCCAGATGATGAAAATGATTGTTGGTGGGTTACTGGTTGCTTCATCCACTCATCTCTCAATCCCACAAACATGTGCTCGGTGCTGAGGACATAAAGTCAGACACAGTAGACCAAATGAACAGTAAGAGCAAAACTAGTCCAGCAGGTACAGCTTGAAAGCACTGAAGATTTAGACTCCAGAGCACCACAATAAAACAAACATTGCAAAAGATGAGTCACCTATGGAGTCTATTCAGTTTCTGAACATTTTTTTGTAAACAAAGTTATGTCTCTGGCCAATAGAGCTCACATACTCTAGTCAAGTCTATTAAGTTAGCAATGGTACTATGAAAAGTTGGAAATACTGTGAGGGTTACTAAAATATGTAGCACAGAGATAAGAGGTGAGCACCATGCTGTAGAAAAAATGGTGCTGACAAACTTGCTTGCTAGCGGGCTATCAGAAACCTTCAACCACCTTCAATCGTAAGACACAGTTATCTGCGTGTTATTGCAGTTAAGTGCAATAAAGCAAGGCATGCCTGTGAGCATGTACACAGGGAAGGATACCTTAAAGGAAGTGACGCCAAAAAACAAAGCGGAGCCTAAAGTCACCTTTCAACCAAGTAAAGACTGTCACTCTGCTTATTGCATTCTTTAAGAAGAAACTGAAATGTATCTCCATAAAATTAAACAGAGACAGCAGCTACTTTAAAAATCCAGCTGAGAGGGTGAAGGGCAGGGAGTGGAAGTTCATGGTAGTGAAACAACCAGAACTGAAATAACAAGAAATATCCACACAATGGGAAGAATGTTAACTAACATCATTGATCATTAAGTTTAGAAATGGCTGTGTTTATTTCCACCAAAAAGAAAATATTGGTTGAAAGAAAACACCCCCCCCCCGAACACACACACCCTACCCCATCCCACACACACAAGGATTAAAAAAAAAGGACATAGCCAAGAAAGAAAGGACTGCAGAAATAAGACCGTGAGTGAGACCTGGAGGGTGAGACTGCTCAACTGACCCTTGGGAAGGTGCAGGGCAGGGCTGTCAGAGCACTGCGTCAAGGGAGGGACAAGTGGGGGCAGGAGCAGATGCAGGCTGGGGACAGATGCTAGAAGACCTCACAGCCAGGTTCAGAAGTGGGAGCCACCTGGAGGTGACAGGGAAGCAGCCAGGCGAATGACCCTGGTCAGATTTGTATATGGGAAGCTCTCTAGAAGGCCCCACTGTACAAAGTGGGCAAAGGGAGCTGGAACTAGTGGGAAGGTCAAGATAAAGGACACAGCCAGCCTGGTGATCATGAAGTATGACCTGCCTGCCTGGCAGCTTCAGGGCTTCAGCTGGAGAAAGAAATCTGGTAGTCATCAGGATAAATATGGTAACCATACCAAACAAACTGATGAAGTTAAGCGCAGATAGCATACAGCATGACGCGGACTGAATTTTGCCCTCCTCTCAAATATGTGTTGAAATCCTGACCACTGTATCAATCCATCTCGTTCAGTGTCTTCCTCTCCTTTGCTGACCCTCCATCTTTCTTAGCATGATGTCCTCCTCCAAGGAATTGCCTTTCCTAACACCATGTCCAAAGTACATGAGAAACTAGGCTTCACCAACTTTGTCTCCAAGGAGCAATTTCTCTAAGATTATCTGTTCTTTTGGTGGTCCATGGGATATTCAGCACTCATATTCAGCACATGGGATATTTCCCACACCACAACTCAAATGCATCGATTCTTCTTCTGTCATCTTTATTCACTGTCCAGTTCTCAGACACACAGCAGCTGACAGGAAAGACTGTGGCTTGAATCAGGTGCACCTTAGTCTTCAAAATGGTATCATTACTCTTCAGGACTTTGGAGGGATCTCTGACGGCAGACTTTTACAATACAAAATGTCTTCTGATCTCCGGATTGCTGATACCAAGGGTAATGATTGTGGATTCAAGCAAGATGAAATTATTGATAGCGTCAATCTTTTCTCCATCTATCATGATGTTGTCCATTAGCCAGTGCATAGGACAAATGGCAGATACTTTTAGAGTAAGAGGAAGAAGTAAAATTTTGTGAGTGGTGTCTGGGAGGGAAAGTTCACAGGCTGCATGAGGGCCCAGCTAAGGTGAGAGCTCAGGGGCCAATGATGCCCTCCTGCCCGCAGGGTTGTTGCCTTGGCCGTTCCAGGCACCTTCATGAAAGACACAGGGGAGTGGTGGCACTACTGGATGGCAGCTCTGTTGGGAAGCTGCCACAGGAGGACAGAGGACAAGGGACTTTTGGAGGATGGTGACAGAAGAATTCAGATGATCCTGGTTTTACAAAGCCAAGAAGCTGAAGCTGCAGTGAGTGGGCAAACTTGGAAAATACAAGGTAAAGCCGAAGGTCAGAAAAAGGCGGAAGACTCTCAAGAGACAGACACAGTAGCTACAAAAAGGGGCTCAAACACAGCGGTGACTCTGAGGATGGCGAAAGATCAGGCAGTGTTTCATTCTGTGGCACTCAGGGTCACTATGAGTCAGAGTCGACTACGGCACCTAAGAACAGGACGGACTGACAGGGTGACTGCAGCATGGACTCAAGTGCGTCAGAGACGGCGAGGATGGCACAGGATAGGACAAGGTTTGGGTATGTCATTCATAGGGTTGCTACGGGTTGTACTTGACTCAACGACACCTAACAAAAACAAGAACAAGGCACTAAACGTTTTAATGGAGCTGAATGAAGAACAAGTATATGGTAATAAGAGTGAGTGGCTGGCAACAGGCTGTGGGTGGACGGTGGGATGCCTGAATGTTCAGATCTCACATGTAAAAGCTTCCATGTGTGTTGATGGGAGTGGGTGGGCAAGAGGGGAGAAGCAAAAACACAGTGTTAGAGACCACAAACACAGAAAAAGTCATAAGCTATTAAACAATGTTTTCATTTTTGTTTTCTGACCACTGTACATGATAAACCTTTCTTTCCCTTTCTCCTTCATACCATCCTATTTTCCTCTTCTAGAGCCAAATCAATCTACCATTGCACAGCTGATTAGCCTAAAGAAAGTTCTTCACTCAATTTCCTCATCTGTAAAATGGGGATAATCTTTCTCCAGTGGGGCAATTGCTGGATTCAAACTGCCTGCTTTTGGATTGACAGCTCAACTCCTTAGTCACTAGGCCACCAGAGCTCCCTTAGAAATATCTAGCCTTTATTTTCTCGATTTCATTTCATTCTTTACCAGTTACTCAAATCGTGTCCTTATTAGGCAGTTTCTTTCCTCAAGAACTTATCTCCCACCCTCTCTTTCGGTTAGCACATAAATAAAAGTCCTTATGTATTGCCACAGGACCAAGCAGTATTCCACTTTATTGTACAGGGGTTGCTAGCAGTTAGCCTACTTGAAGGCAGTTAACAACAACTACAGTTAGTGTTTATCCTCAGTGGAGACATAGGTTTCCCACACCCTTCGCCTCTCCCATAAACCCCAGCTCTACGACAGCCCTTCAGAGGTTAGGCTGCTAGATAGATATCAATGTTGCCTTTGGGGCCTTGCATTGTGTTCTTTCCAGCTGAACCAGATTGTGGAGGTCAACACAACGTTTCAAACTGGTTCTTCCTGGTTCAGTCAAGGATGATGAAATGACACTAGAATGGATCCACAAATTCTGGTAACAAGTGGTGTACTACAACAAGGGGAGAAAAAATGGTTTTCGACTCTGCTACAAAACGTAATCTCCCTCTAAGAAAACCAACCTGTCCCAGGCGGCAGCTCATGGTTGGCAGCCGGCCCCTCCACTCTGAGTGTGTGTCACTGTCCACAGAGTTTACACAGATCCAATCCACCATCCTAAGATCCCGAGAGGGCTCACTATACATCTTCTGAATCTCCTATTCCAAGGCTTCAACCAATCATTTTCCCCATTCCAGTACACTATAATTTTAATTTTACAAATTCAGGTCCATTCTGATTTTAAACTAGTTTGAACTAGTTCAAAGTCCTTGGTGAAGAAACCCGATTTCTCAATTCCTATCCTTCTCATTCTTTTCCAGGAATTCAGAGAAGTGTTTCCCTCAATGAAGACTTCAACAAGCACCTTCTCTGGAAAACCTGTCATATCTAATCTCATGGGTCACTCATTTACTCTGGGCCCCCTTCACATCTTTAAACATTATTATGCATTGCTCTTGAGTCCATTCCAACTCATAGCAACCCCACAGCAGAGTAGAAATGCACCACTGAATTTCGAAGGTTGTAATAACTGACAAGGAGCCCTAGTGGCATGGTGAGTTTCTGGTCAGACTGCTCACCACAAGGTCAGCTGTTCAAATCTACCAGCCACTCTGAGGGAGAAAGATGCCCAGTCTCCTCCCATAAAGACTTACAGGCTAGGAAACCGGACAAATGGCAGTTGTGATGTGGAACGGACTCAGTGGCTATAAGTCGGGTTTTTGGCTTTAATAGTTATGGAAGTGGATCACCTTCTGAAGTGAATTCACCTTCTGGTGGACCCCATAACCCTTCTGCTGAGCAGCTGGCCCCTCACCCACTATGGCATTAGGGCTCCTCTTTGAACGAAGTGCAAAATCACAAGGTATAACAATCAGAGAAGTAACTTCATAAGCTAGTCAAAAAAGCATCCAGAGTAAAGTCCTACTAAATCAAGCTCAAAAATAAACCAAAGTTTGTGATCATTTATATATGAATGCCTTAAAGTAAGGGAACTAGAATGTAAGTTCTACAGTGACAAACTCCGATGTGTACTTGCCCCGCTGTGGTGCCTCCC